CTCTCGGAGGAATCAAACGTGCCAAGTCACTTGAAAACCTCCAGTGAAAGTGAAAGAGAGACAATTCTTCAACCTTTCTTCAATGTTCCAGGCTATCAAGGTTGCACGTGATGTTCGCATCTCCAATCAGGCGGATGGCTCTTTTCTGGATGGGATCCAGCAACTTCTGGGTATGTTTGGGGGAAGAGCTCCATACTTGAGAACAATATTCCAAAGAAGGTCTGATCTGAGCTTTATAAAGCATGAAAAGTTGCTGAAGTGTGTACAATTTTCTGGTTCGGAACAGTATTCCAAACTTTTGAGAAGCTGCCTTTGCAGCTCCATCGGCATGATTCCGGTTCGGAGACATTTATCTTTTTGGAGAAAACCGATGCCTGGTTTTTGTGGCATTTAATTGAACCTGGTTACTTTTACCTCTATTCGAAATCACTTCTAGATCCTCATTAAGATAAGCAACCTCCTGCTGCCGGTGAAGATGTGCTTCCATAGCTTCCTGGAACCCAAATGGAATGACGAGTCAAGTGTACTGTCGTCAACAGTATTGGTAAAGTTATAAATTGAATTGGTAAAGTTATAACTGTGAAAGGGTTTTTATTATCATGAATAAAGTTATTCATTTTCATCGAGGAACGGTCAGTGTATCAATGAAAGACTATTTATAAAAGAGACATAGCAATGACATTACAATAACACCCAATGTTTTCAATATACAGGGTGTCCCTGGACTTCCTCTTAGATTTTATTATTTGGCAAAAGTACCTTCAATATTGAGCCTTCATAATTATAGTCCCAATTTTGTAAAGACTGGTAATGATGGATCTCAAACCTACCTTTTTCTAATGAACGTATTGGTTAAATTCAGTTCTGTAATTTTGTTTCTGAATTCCTTATTTTTAGAATGAAATATTTTAGAGGAAATTCAGATGAAAATAATCTAATTATACGTTTCTCTCAATAAATCACTGAATGGAGAATTAGTGCCTTTGGTAATTAAAATAAATTCAACGTTAAGATTACTGTGGAACTGAAGCGAAATGGTGACATGAAACAGAGTTCAACACAAACTTTATGAATTATATGAAAGATCAGAAAGTTTAGAAACTTTGATGTAAATTCTGCCTCGCACAGTGGGGTATTTTGTCCCAAAACCTGGATAAAAATATTGCATGCTTTTAATTGCTGGATATGAGTATTCTGATTGAATTATAGGGTGAAAAATAGTAAATCAAAGTCTCATTGAAGATATGAATCCATTTATTCAGTACCTACTACTATCGTCTATATTTGTATATCACTCTTTGATAACTTCAATAACTTCAGAAGATGATGGTTGTCTTTTTCTCTTGGAGTTGCTTCGCAAGTCAAGTTCTACCAAATGTCAAGGTTTTGCTCATTGTTTTTTTTTTATTACCGTGGTGTAGTGCATCAGTTCTTGCCACATGGTCGTATGGCAGTAAGGAGTATTATCTTGAAGCTATGCGTCGCTTGCAAGAAGCAATACGAAGAACACGTCCGTTATTGTGGAAAAACCATTTATGGCTTTTGCATCATGATAATGCACCTGCTCACTCGTCATTGTAAGTTCGCAACACCGTAATCATGCCTCAGCCACCGTATTCACCAGATTTGGTCCTCTGCGACTTTTTTCGTTCTCAAGTTTGAAGAGACCCATGGAACGACGGCGTTTTGCTATGATTGAAGATATAAAAACCGAATCGCTAACAAAGCTCAAGAACATATCAAAAGGTGCGTATCAGAACTGCTTCGAGGAATGGAAAAGGGGAAAAGGAGACAAAATAGAAGTTTATGAATAAATAAGTATTTTTTTTCAATTCACAAATTCACAATAGCCAAATTTGCTTATAACGCTTCTGCAAGTTCATATAGTTGTCCAATGAGAAGAATAGCTTTATATATGACTTCCGCACCCCGGCACAGAGGATTTTTTTGTTCTGTAGAAGACATTCAATGAAAACCATAAAAATCCTCTACATTCAAATCGAACAAAATTGAAACAAAGCGCTGTCGAAACAATCCGAAAAATTGATCAGGCATCTGGCGATGATAGAGTTAATGAACGCACTATTCAACGTTGGTTTGTGAAATTTTTTCCGGAGATTTTAGCTTCGAAGATGAGCCCCGAAATGGTCGCACGTTCTAATCAACCGAAAAGTGAACGAATTTAGCGTCGAAGTTCTACCTTATCCAACATACTTCCCGGACATCTTTCTAACCGACTACAATCTTTTCAAGCACTTCGATAATTTTCTCACCGGTAGACTTTGGCCAATCACGATTAGGCAAAAACGGCCTTTGTCGACTCCATGGAATTTCGAGCAGCTGATTTTAATACTGACGGAATTAATCGAATCGCGCTTACTTCGAATAAATTGAATTAGTATTTACTGATATATTACAGTTTGAAGTAGACCCAAAAATGGACAAAACTTTTGAAACAATCTAATAGTTGAAGAATATGTGATAGAATTTGCCGAAAATTGAAGAAAATTCGTAGAGAACCCTTTTGACACACCTCATTTTGAGATTTTCACCAAACAGTTTACTGAACCTCAACACGTGTTTCACTATATAACTGCTTCTTCAGGCTTGTTTGAAAAACGTACGATCAACCTTGTATGAAGGATATGAGAAATAAAGTATTTCCGAAATCTCACGTGATAATTCACTGTTTCATTTAAAAGAGGTTCATCCTGAAGTTTCCAAATTTTTATTCCGGATAGTTTTCCTCATAGAGGTGGATGCTTCACTGTTATTTATATGTTCTGAAGGGGCATCTAACGTTCTTGGGATAAAAGTCCAAGGATTTACAAAATCTTTAGTACTGTCAATATATGTTCGGGTGAGTCCAGTGGAGTGGCCAGCTAGATCACCTGATCTCACACCGATGGACTTCTTTCTGTAGTGACACCTGAAGTCAAAAGTGTACTTTACTAAGCCTACAAATCTAGAAGGCCCACGACAGAAAATTGTTCGAGAATGCCGATTGCTGATTCCGGACATCTCGAATAATGTACGGAACGCTTTCAAGAGCAGACTGTATTATTGTATGGAACTAGGTGGATGTCATATAGAACAATTTATCCGTTGATTTTGTTTCCACTGATACTATTTGTTGTTGATTTCCTCATTAAAATGAACGACAGCAAATTTTCTGTTTTCCTTAAATAAAACGTCTCAACGTTTAATTTCACAATAACGAATGGACCAATTTCCAAAAAAATACAGAGGTAATAGAGCGACCCTTCACATGATGTANCAACCCAATCAACGGATAAAGTGTTGAAAATTACCTCCATCTAGTTCCATAAAATATAATACACTTTCGAAAGCGATCCTTACATTATTGAAGATGTCCGAAGTCAGAAGTCGGCATTGTAGAATTTATTCAATTAGTATCGAGCGTTTTATAAATAGACGACACTGTTAGTCTTTTCTGCACTGGTAGTTTTTGTTGAATCTAGTTGTCGCAGAACAAAAAGTAGATAGTTGGCCACTGTCACTTCTTCACGAATTATTATCTAGTCATCCTTGTTCACTGTGTTCCAACATGGTTTATTCTACTGAAGAAAGAATAGAAACTTTTGCAACCTATTATCAAATTGATAAATGTGCTAAACCTGCTGCAACATAAGCCATCAATACGTTGAGCAGTTCACAACAGAGAACCTGAAGTATACCGTCCTGTCAAAAATGACGGAGTTGAAGTTGCAGTTTTAGGACATGCACAAATGGATAATCAATAATCTATCAGACAAGTAGCTATCTGGTATATCAGCTACTAGTGTTTTTGGTATTTTGAAAGCCTACAAATTCCATCCTTTCGAAATAAGGCTAGTTCAGGAATTAAACGAAGATGATCCTGATCGTCAACTTAAGTTTTGTGAGATGTTCAGCGAGAAATTGACTAATGAACCAAACCTACCATGCAATACATATTTTTGAGACGAAAGTTCTTTCATGTTGAATGGTGAAGTGAACAGACATAATTGTCGTTACTGGAGCGATGTGGATCTTTATTTGGTGATGGAAACACATTCACAAACTCCACAATAATTGAATGTCTGAGCCGGCATTCTTGGTAATCATATTGTTGGAACAGTCTTCATTAAAGGTGATCTCAATGGAGGCACATACTTAAATCTAATACAAGACTGTGAAGATCATATGATTACACAAATTTCAGATAATAATGACAATTCAGTAGAAAATGAAATAACATTCCAGCAGAATGGTGCACCCCACATTTGATGTTCGGGTGAGTCCAGTGGAGTGGCCAGCTAGATCACCTGATCTCACACCGATGGACTTCTTTCTGTAGTGATACCTGAAGTCGAAAGTGTACTTTACTAAGCCTACAAATCTAGAAGGCCCACGACAGAAAATTATTCGGGAATGCCGATTGCTGATTCCGGACATCTCGAATAATGTACGGAACGCTTTCAAGAGCAGACTGTATTATTGTATGGAACTTGGTGGATGTCATATAGAACAATTTATACGTTGATTTTGTTTCCATTGATATTATTTGTTGTTGATTTCCTCATTAAAATGAACGACAGCAAATTTTCTGTTTTTCTTAAATAAAACGTCTCAACTTTTAATTTCACAATAACGAATGAACCAATTTCCAAAAAAATACAGAGGTAATAGAGGGACCCTTCACATGATGTATAACTCGACCCCCCATGCCATTGAAAAAAATATGGGAGGTAGTTTCTGACCGCAGGAAGGTGAAGTTTCGGTTATGATTTTCATATCAGAATTAGTCCCCCAGAAATGAAAATTGAAGTGTTCTTTGCAATTTTCGATTACATGTCCGTTTCTGACTTACAGGGTAGTTCAAGTTGTCGCCCTGTATGTAATCAGTCGAGAAATCAGTGTTTTAGACTTGATCAGCCAGGTAAACCTTGAAAATCAGTAAAAAACGCGAAAATACCGTTCATATTTTGCATTTTTGTGAAAAGTTGAAAGAAACTCACCTTTCCTAACCGACTCGATGGCCTCCACCACAAGTTTTTGATTCACTCCACATAGGTTGGCAGTTAGTTTCTCACATTTCTTATGAATATTTACATCGCAGTCTGATAGGAAGAAAAATATCAATTAAAATGCAGGGTAATGTTAAATGAACTTTGCCAGCACACAAAATATCTGATCTTCGATTCATTGAAAATGTGAAATATTTTTGGGGCAATACTCTATTATCAAAGAAAGGAATCAAATATCGATTCAGACAACTGATTTTGGTCAGTTGTTTGATCCTGTGAAATAGTTTATTTATTATTCCTGAATACAAATTGATTTACGGTAGTCATTGAAGTCACATAAATCATAAACACACAACATTGTAAATATACATACATTGAATCATGAAGCTCAACTTCCCATCTTTCAATAAACATATCTTGTATGAATTTTCGTTGTTTCGGTTTGATCTCAGAGTATTTCAATTACTCACATAGTTGGTGCATATCATCATGTAGCGAATTTATCATGAATTCAACTTATATTGATGTCCGAGAGATACGATGCTTGGATTTCAGTTGCCATGTAGGGCAACTTCAAAAACTACATAACATTAGAAATAATGTAATGGAAACATATGTGGTTGCCGTGGAAATCATAGAAAATAGGTCGATATGGATGGAACGGATAAAATTTCATTTTATTCAAGTTAATTTTTAGGAAACTTCAAATTAAGTACAGCTTGTCAAATCTAGGAAGTGACTTGAGAATTTTCTCTCTCTCTCTCTCATAGTCTTCTAACGAACGCACATCTAGTGGGCGGGAATTCAGCTCTTCCAACATTTGACAAACTGCAGAATAATATTTGAACTGAAAGATATAAGAGATATAAGTTTTTAGTTTTTACCTCACCATCTTTGTACCTATAAAAACTAGTGAAAAAGTCCAAGAAAAAGAATATGAGCAATTCGAAATAAACTATCCACAAAACTATGTAGATTATGATGCATAAAAGTTACTTTCAGATATGAAGTCTGAGAAAAAATCATTCCAAAACAAATACTTGAATAATACATTTTTCATTTAGTTTGTACTACACATATCCAGGATTTGATTGTTCTGCGTCAGCTTGACATAAGATTGATAATGATAATGATAAATGGTTTTATTGAAAGGTTAGTATAAGTGATACTAACCTAACCTTGAAAATATCAGAATTCAACATCTGCACATGATAAATCAAGGCAGATATTGCTCTTTCATCCAACTAGCAACAGTTAACTCATATTAATACAATCATTTAGCAGTCAAACTTGAAGAAAAACGAAAGAGAGAAAAGGAATAAAAGCAGGAAAGAGAAACGAGAATCGGCGAGATGAGAATTTGATCCCCTACATGTGAAAGTCACGTCATAAGTATAAAGAAAATTTAATATAATAATATAACCATAAATTTTGGTATCTTCTACATATTTCTTCCTCGCAGTACCTAAACGCAAAAACCACTGAAGGTGTCTGCCATACTAGCAGACGAAACGTTACTTCAGAGTTCATTTGGCGTTCAACTCCAGATTTTATTCTTCTTAAAAAAAACCCTCTTTCGGATTTGAATTCATAATACAGTCATATTTCCTAATAACATGTTTTTTTCAATATCATCATAGATAAGTAGTGTTGTGTTTACTAAGAAAACCCCATACAAAAAGTCGACATTCAACGAATATTAAAATAAACTAATGTTTGAAAGATAAACGACGCTTTCTAAAGAGCCATCATAAATGTTGAGGAATGGAATAGGCATATCAACAATATGATTTCAGAACAAAAATATTCTTCAGTTGGTTTTATTTAATTTTCTAGATTCTCCAGATTTTTTCAAAAAAATTATAATGTGATAGCACTGCCCGATACTTGATGAAAATCCATTATAACGTATTCAAAAAACACCTTTATGTCCCGTGGGTTGGGGTATCTATCGGGCGCGTTCCCAGGTGGAGGATAAGGGAACGGCCAGGGGACTGGAGGCCCTGTCCGGGAAGCCAGTGTGGCCTTACGGATGGGGTCGCCGGACTCCTGGTCAGTGGCAGAAATAAGTAGGGTGATGGAAAGTAAAACCCCCCAAAACATGCCACCATGGACCAGCCTACCCATGCTTAGGTGTAAGGAATCGTGCCGACAGCTGAATGACCGCAGGGTGACATGCGTTAACTAACAACCCTTTGGGGAACTGGGCGAAACCTCATTGTAATCAGCCTACCTCTGGTAATTTGGAGCTCGTGGGAACACACATGAATGAAACAAACACAAAAATAAAAAAAAAAAACAAAACTAATCCCGAGGCTGGACAGAAGTGCTCACCTCAATCTAAGGCGGTGGCTGGGGCAGGAGTGACAGCAACTATAAGTGCACCCTCCTCCTCACCCACTCTACCTCCAACAGCGAAGGCACTTCCTGCGGCGGGCGACAAGAGCTCCGCCTTAAATAAAGGCAAGGAATCGGCTGCCCCTGCAGGAAAGCTCCCTCACTTGTGCACCTCCACGGAGGGAAGCCCAAGAAAGTTGGGGTAATTGGTAATTTGCTGGATGGACTCCTCTGCAGATGAAACATTTCACTGAGAATTGTTTCGGCTTTTTACATTCAGTTGTCAGGTGGCGACCGGCACATCTTAGGTACGCAGAAACTACTTTACAGTTCCTTTGCAAATGTTCGAACTTCTGTCAGTGGTAGCATTACCCCACTGTCGTTTAGGGTCTTTGCAGTTCGCTTTAAACTCTAAAGTTTAAGAACTCCCTGATCTCGTAGATGTGGTTCTGTTGTCTCGTAACGAGAACCAGTAAGAGCGGGAGTGGCTTGTTATTGCGTTTTCAAGCCTGGATATCGACATTATATCGAAGTCCTTGGCTTTCAGGTCTCTCCGATTTCTTCAGTTTCGAGGAATTCAGGTACACCTCGAAACACCTCTCTTATGGGCTTTGCATCGTGTACGTATGATGCGGAATCTTCTTCTCTTGGTTCAAGATATCGACAATTTTTCTATAGTCATCCGGGCCTGCTGGCTGGACTTTTATGCCGTCATTCGTGTTGACCGCCTTTGTGAAGTTCGCCTTCTCGCGTGTGGAAATTTCATTGAACTTTTTCTACTTATCCTTTTGCCTGATGGTAATAGGTTGTGGAATAATCATTTATGGCCCGGATGCCTATGCTTCTTGGCTTCTCCTATGAGCGTTTCAGTTTCCATAGCCTCCGGAGTACGGTTTTCTTCCATCGTTTGATGTTTTGAGATCTCGTTGATTACCTGGGTAGCTACACTTTCAGGGTCATTGCTCCTGGATTTCTCTTTTCTTCTTTCGGCACCTCGGTTTGTACCTGAGAGGTTTTGCTTTTGGAGGTCAGAGACCTTGAGTTTCAAAGGTTTCTTAGAATTCTCAGTCTCTGATTCTTTCGGTACCTCACTCCGTACCTAAGTTTTCGTCTTATTGATTTCGTTCCCCTTTGGTTTTTGTGATTTCCTAGAAATCTCTGTCTTCGCCTGGGGTTTTTTGTTGGCTTTCGCCATACATCTCGTCCTCTGCATCAGAGTATACATTATGGTATTCGCAGGGATTTTGCTGCTCGAGTTCTTGTCTTTTTTTTCCACATTAATATGTGCGTAGTCACGAGTTCTTGGGGTGAATCATATATATCTAGTAGCTTAGATACCATCGCTAGCATCATATCTCTCTTCTTTTTTCTAGCATTGAGTACAAGGGTATCAATAATAGCGTCCATCTTGGCTGTTTTTGTCCAAGAGTACCGCGTTTCTTTTAACAGACAAGCTGTTATTAGAAAGGGCACTTTTGACTTCAAAGAGGAACAATTTCTATCAATTGTTCATCAATATCGCAATTCAATTCACTTTTAAACATAAACTCTATTCACACTAACTTTCAGTAGATGCTCACTGTCGCAAGGCTATCGACTGAATGTGTCAAGTGTTTCAATTATTTGATTCATATTGCAATTGAAGAGATTTTCAATTTTTTTATCAATAGATGACACTAATGACGACGTTACTGCAACAGCTTTTTCTTCACATAATCAGCGTTGTTGAATGATCCGTGAAACGAATCTCAAACATTTCACAGGAATGCACTTGAAAGCAGTGGAAAGTCGGGTAATTTGAAATTATTTATGATTTAGGTCAGCAACACCAGAGATGCGATCTTTGACTTCAGTCCAACAAGGTGATTTGGAGTTAAGTATGTCAATGGCCTAAATTTTTTTTCTGAATTATCATTCTAACATTAGCAATAGTGTCGGCAAAAATAATCGTGGATGTCATTGCTGCATTTTTCATGGCAATATTTGAAAAAAAATCAAATTCTACATTATACAGTGTCATCCCCAAAGTATGCACCATATGGAAAACTTATTAAGGGTTTTTCGACAAAAAGTTATTTTTGATAAAAGTTTGTGCATTCCCTAGAACTAAACATGCACCAACAAAATAGAGTAAAACATAAGTTTGGTTAACCCTTAATAAATAAGTTTCCCATATGGTACATACTTTCGTGAAACCAACTAACTTTTATTGAAACCATTTTTTCTCCTCTGTCGGTAAAGAAACAACATTACACTCTATTTAAAAAATAGCGATAACAAAAAATGCAAAATATATAAAAATGATAACTGAGTTATTAGGAGATTACTGAATTTTAGTGGTCTCTTGATAATATTAAATGAAAAGCGCGTCGGGAAAGTACCTCAGTTCTGGTGTGAGATAATTGTTTTCAACAGATTCATTTTGCGCCAGTGATTCCATACTCACTTATAAGATCTATTCACCATTTTTTAAATTTATTCTGTCCACTTTGTTATTGTTTTTAGTTCACTTTGAACTTTCGATAATTTTTCATGGTATATTTATAAAAAACGATTTGACATCAACAATCAATTATTGAAGCCGAAACATTTGATTGCTGGTTCATTTTGCTTGCAAGTCAGAGAAATTCACAGTAGGACTGTGCAAACACTATAGTTATCTTGATTGGACTATGTTAATGTTTTCTTAGCAATGTTATCTTAGCAAGTAACACTGGGAAAAGAAATATTCTAGGCACCTTGTGAAAAAAATTCAACTGATTGTTTGGGCTTCAAAAAATTCGCTATTCTTAGACCAACCCTCAGAACCGTTGATATATAATGATTTAGAAGAGTAAAAGTTCAAACTCAGCTGTTTCAGTTCAAAAATCAGACGTGTTTATTTAATTGAAGTCAATTTTTATAGCACTCAAAATAGATACAAATTTTTCAGTGTCACTGTTTTTTGAGTTTGGAAGCCTTGGCTTTTTGGAATTTCTTCCTGACGTTTCGCTAGCGCGAGTGGCTAGCTTCTTCAGAGGTTTAACCATCATGGATTGCTGTCCGATGACATCATCGGACAGCAGAACACTGCAGACCATAGGCTTACAGCATTTTCTCTTTCCTATTTCCATGGCATCCTTCCAAAAATCTTCTTCTTCAGGTACTATCGATCCTTTGTCTTCTGGATTCAATTTTGGTTGGCCAGGTTCAGTGACTCATGTTCGCATGAATCATGACAAGTTGTCACTATTCCTTTATTGCAGTTCCTGAAACTCAGGTCTTCATCATATATATCTATTTTGTACCTATCTTCATCATATAGACCTATTGAGTAAGTAGTTCTATAATTGTTCTGCTTTATTGAAGTTGTTCTCCAATTCTTTTCTCAGCTGGTTCCTCCACAATCAATTTCCCGTGTCTTCCCAGATATATCTCTCTAGTATACTTTGTGTTTCTTATCAACTTTTCTGATTTGATGTAGATATCACTACATCTGTATCAGAGCCTTCATATTGAGCTGATGATCAGGTACCCGCACACTTCGAAACTTTTTCGTTGTTTATGATTCCAGAGTGTCCAGTCACCCGGTATAGATTCATTCTTCAGTTAAACAAATTAAGCCTAACTGATTATATTATTGGCCTGCTCATTTCATTAACGCCTGGACGGGTAGCTATAATGTAATTTTTACAGGTACAGCATAGTCAAGCGCATATTCCTTGACCCGTCTGTGTAGGTGTTTCTGTCAAATGTGTTCTCAAGATACCTAATCAACTATGAAGTTTGTGTCCAAAGTGTATTTAAGTGTCATGTTTGATGTTCATTTCTTTCCAATTTCTTATAACCTTTCATTCCGCTGTTACTTTTGGATTTATCTATCTCCAATGCAGTTGTTTCCGAGGAGCAAATATTTTCAACATGCGTGGTTAACAGCTGTCCCTTGTTATATCTTCGATAACCAAACCGAAGATTCATAGGATAATGAGCGTCAGTACTGCTGTCTTTCATTTCAAGTTAGTTCTAAAGAATCACGAAAGTAACAACAGCTATGGACGACTACAACAATATGATAGCAAAGGAAAAAATCCTATGTTATAAGATCTGTAAATCTTATAATCAATAGTCCAAATATAACCGAGTCTACAAAGTTAGCAGAATTGCTCTAAGACAAATCCCACATTTGCAAACCATCTTTTAGCAGAAGGACATGAGTTCAATCATGAGTACGAGGTGTTACATTTAGAAGAGAAGAGTTTGAAACTTAATCTTCTAGAATGTTTAGAAATCAATAGATTCAGGAATTCGGGTAATTTACTGACACTTGACACTTACAAAGTGAGTGAAGAAATTGATAGAAATAAATATTTTTGTTATTGATAATAGCATGTTATTATTATTAATGAAATGTTCACCGGTGGGACAACATTCATATTGTCTTATTGGTGAACATCTGTTCAATAGCTATTAGCAAAGAACTTCAGAAAAGGGTCTACAAAACCTTCATGCGACAATAACATTAGTAGAAAAACATGTTAAAACTCAATAATCTAACCCTTATTTTTGCCGGGAACTCCCGACCCAAAGCCTGAGTCATTTGAAGACGTACTTGCTCCGATTTTATTGGAGACCGGGGATTGCAGACTTCTTTGATACTCGTCCCCTTCGGACGAGGTTTCTTCGCTACTGCTGCTGTTCTCCTCACTTTCATCCTCACTTTCATCTTCATCATCATCTTCTTCACTACTGCTTTCCGACTCAGGTGGTGGTTGTGCGGGGTGGCCGCATGGCCTTGGATAATGTCTACCACGAATAACTTTGGGGCGCGCGAAAATTTCCACCGGGCACTCATCGAGTTGTTCAGGTTTTTTCCAAGGATGCATCCATTGGGATAGTCGATTCGACTGGAGAGGCACAAATGTTTCTTTTTTCTCAGGTTCTGGTTCAGGTTCTGGTTCGGGCTCTGGAGGGACAAAAACTTTCAAGTCAGGATCGTCCTTATTGGCTTTCTGTACCAAGGATCGTTTGGACATTAATTTTCTTTTGGCAGTTTCTTCTGGTGACAGGGGTTCCGAAATATCTGTGTTGATGAGGTTTTGTTCCTCGTTAGTTTTATCTACACTGACGTCTAGCTTTGGTTTGTTCTTCACTTCATCTGAGACTTTCTGAATACTATTTTCGACAGTGTTCTTTCCACTAGTAGAAATAGTGGATGAATCTAAGGATGCTACTCCTCTGTTGTAGACAGAAGTTAGAGCTGAATTTGTTTCGGTTCCTTTAGACACGGAGGACAATGTTGGAGTTGATTTAAAATCATCCGATTTCGTAATTCCTGATAGTTCAGGTGCCGAATTATTTTCTTTTTTTAATAATTTGTTTAACAGTGGTGTAGATTTAGAGGTAGTGTTTGGTATTTCGTTCTTGACGTTGAAAACTTTTCTCAAATTACTTCGACTCCCTTCAGAAGTAATGTTCGATTTTGAATCCTGTGGTGTCTTTTGACTTTCATGATCCAAACAAATACTAGTTTCTTTTCTATTAATTGAAGTTGGGGCTGAGTTATTCTCCTTTCCTGAAATAGCCTTCCTGGTTACTGGAGATGATGGAAAAATAGGTTCGTTGTCAGAGGTTTCCTTACATTTAGACAATTCAGGGGCTGAACTATTTTCTATTTTTGGGAAAATTTTATTCATTAGAGGTTTCTCTTTCATCATTGAAGATTGTAGTTTAGGTATTTCATTTTTCATGCCATTCGTAATAATGTGTTCCGTTTCCACTTCACTTTTATCCTTTTCCTCGAGGCAATTAGTTGAAGACGAAACATCAGTTTGTATATTTTCCTTTTGTGAGGGGATATGTCCAATATGCACAAGAGATGTCTTCTTAAGAATGCTAGTCACAACAGTAGTTTTAGGTTTTGAGAGCAGTACGACACTTTTTATATTCGAATTCTGAATGATGTTTTCCTTCTCTGTGGAAATATGTCCTATTTGCAAAGGGGGTCTTTTCTTCAAAATACTGGTAACAACTGTAGTTTTGGGCTTTTCAACCAGAACAACACCTGTCATATCTTCACTGAAAGTAATTTTTCCCGGCAGAGATGTTGATTGTTTCAGGGAGGGTTTTTTGCCATCCTCGGATTCATTTTCTACCTCAACTATGACATTGAATCTAAATTTCTTCTCCTTATTCGTTTTCTGTGTTTCCTCTACTTCTGCCTCATCAACTATTGGTTTCAGTTTTGGGGTGGGATTTTTGATATCATCGACTGATGTAGTTATCTTTGGTTTCGGTTTGAACTTGGTTTGTTGAATTTCAACTTGGGATATATCTCTAATTGTACTTTTATATACTTCATCTTTCAGGGAATCGGGTTCTTTTATTCCCTTCGATTTTGTACGCTTGAGTACCTTCTTAGTAGAATGGTTTGTTGGTAGAGATTTCTCGTTATTATTCTCATCAGAACTCCTGAATGATAGAGGTTCGATAGTTCCAGAGTGTTTTTTTGGCAGTTTTTTCCTCTTCACACTCTCTCTAGGATCATGAAGAATATCGTCCTCCGGCATTGGGGTCAGTTCAGTTTTCTGTGTTAGTAATTCATTCAAAATATTCAAGTCTTCTTCAGATAATTCGGTTGATGTTCTTCGGATTTCTTTCAGAATCTTTTCTCCTGAAATTTGCCTACTTTGTCTACGTTGTACTTCTACTGGTTGACCGGGGTTCAAATCATTTTCTAAATCCCCAGACGATATAGCCGTGCATATATCGTGGAAGCTTGGAGATTTTCTGTAGGGTTTTTTCCTATTCACTTCGGGCTCTGCGAGATTCGGCAGGTTATCTTTGCTCCTGCTGCGAATCAAGAATTTCTCCTTCAGAATTTCTCCTTGGGTTTTCTTTCTTCGCTTTGCTTCGACTCCTAATTCGTCTGGCTTGAAATTGTCCCTCCAGCTTTTAATTGCTCCTATTTGTTTTTCTAGGGTATCTTTGTGAACTGTTTGTAACCGAACTGTTGTTCTATCCCTTCGTATTGTGGGATTCGGCTTGGCTTCTTTTTGTTCTTCTGCACTTGGGATTTCCTTCTTAGGGCTTGGTGATTTTTCCTTGGGAGTCACAGATTTCTCTGCAGTGTCAGGTCTGAGCCTTTCGTATTTATCAAATTTTTTTCTATTTCTATTCACTGACACGTCGATATCAGCTGTATTTATTGTTTTGATGGGGCGGACCGAAATACTTGGTGAGTGGTACCCTGTTTTCGGAGAATTCACCCTTCTCAAAGGGGAATTTAACTCACTGATGGATGAAAGATGCGGTTTGTATCCTCCCCTGAACTGTCGCGGGATCGGTTTCGTATAGGAAGGGGTGAAATTGGATGCGATTATGGAGGAATGTTTCGCGTAAGGACCGCTCAAAAGGAGAGACGAGTACGCACTGGGCGAAGGCGTACTCGTTAGGCCAAGTTCAGAATAGTACGGCATATTCGTTCGTTTTTATCGGCCAATAAAAAATTACACGTGATCGATCGTTTTAGAATTAATGTACCTGTCACCGTGTTATTGGGATTCACCTGTTGATCGGTGCCTTCAATCAAGCGCTGACACTTGTAAACACTCGCGGTGATTGAGAAAGGCGGTGTTTTGACACTCCGAATATCGATCAATTCGACATAACATCTTCTTAGTTACAACCTTATGTTATTTTTTGTGGTAGTAGTGACGGATACCGGTATCAATAAGCACTAAAAGTTCAACTGGCAGGTTTTCAGTAACTCGGCCAAACAATCCTATTTTTACCGCGTCTTATGACGTGAGCGCCTCCCAATAGTTCAGGCTGAAACACCTGTATGTCTGGTCTTTAAAGGGTGATCAACTAATATTAGAGTTGAATAAGTGTACGGGGTGGCTCAAAAGTACAAGAATCTATTTCAGGCAACTATCTTTCCAGAAATAAACGTATGTTATTGTTCATTTGCGCATCTGCAATTTTTACTGAATCAAATTCTTTTCCGATTCCTGATATCAACATATAATAATAATAATAATGATATCATTCATTAATGAAAAGAGAGAGAAAATGTATACAGCAAATACAATTTTTTGCATAAATGATACCAACTCGATAAGTGAGCAAACACTTGTTTCGAGATAAAGTTACCTTTCTTAACTACATATGAAAAATTATCAATCCAATACAAAAGAATTACACTTAAAAAATATATATGGAAATGATAGTGTGATACAAATAGCAAACACAATAATGAGAACATTTATACAGTAAACATTTTTTTTGCATAGATGATTCATACTCGATAAGCGAGCAAACACCTGTTTCGAGATGAAAGTATATTACTCCCCAACAAAGATTCAGTCGAATACAAGAACACCACGAAAATATATATATATTGGTGTTTCGTATATGAATTGTTTTATCTTATTTTCAAACATGTTAAAGTTCATTATTTTTTTAATATGGTCAGGAATAAAATTGAATGCCTTGGGTGCTATGTGAGAAAACGATCGCTGACAAACAGATTTGCTCATCTGTGGGACAACATAATGGTGTCTTTTTCGGGTACCATAAATATGCGTAGGTAAACTGGCGTGATTTTTTATTTTTTTATATTTCAATATAACATTCAAACAACATAGTTGCCACAGGTCCAGTATCCCGCATTCCTTATATAAAAAAATCAGTAGAATATCGGCAGTGTTTTTCTGATATCAACTTCAGGACTCTGTTTTGGATAATCTCTCAACTTGAAATCAGTTATGATAAATTTTGCCGTAGGTTTGCATTTATATTTATTTCAATTTGAAACATGCTTTCGTGTCTCGGAATATATGATAATCGACTAATAAGGTTGTAATTGAATATAAATAAAAAATATAAAAAATAGTTATATACATTCACTTCATACTTATGTGTGAAAACTTCCATAGGAAATGAAATTATTATGGTTTTGGTTGATAGCTGATAAAAATGAACTTTTGAAAAATACTAATGTGAATGTCTCGCAGTTGTATTTTTCATACATTAGTTTCATACGTAGTTTTTGTTTATGAAGTTCGGAGTTACACTATGGGCATGGGAATAAATTATAACAAGCACACTTGATACATGAATATTACTGGAGTTTTAACCCAACACCAAACCGTTATTTTTAACATCTCGACACGTGTTTCAATCACCAAGTGACCATTTTAAGAGGAAGATTGAACTGTTTAATCTTCCTCTTGAAGGTGATCACTTGGTGATTAAAACACGTGTCGAGGTGTTGAAAATATCAATTTGGTGTTGAAATAAGTCTCCAGTGCTATTCATTACTACACCAAAGGTGCCAAACAGTGCATCACAAGTACTTCAATACCGACTGATATTTTCACATGAAGAATAAAACATAGCACATCAGAACAAAGATTCAGTTGATATTCATGATATCAATGAAATTAGCGTGTTCCTAGAGATACGGGATTATTGGATTCCCTTCGCTAATAAAAGTGCAGTTGGTTGAATTTTTCACCAAACCTACATCGTGGAGGGCAACTCTTCAAAAGTTTGTGAAATACGGTTGAAGCTTTTTCTTCGACATCAAGGTTTGAGGAGTAATATTTTTCTTGATAGTTATCATTTGATTCATAATATAGTTATGACATATGCGCAATAATGATATAATAAATATAGGTACAACATTGGAGATGGAAGCAAGTCGTAATGTGGAAAAAATCCCATTAATTGATTTCTCTCGACCCCAAAGATACTGATTTATAAGGCCCTGGCCTAACGACTCCAATATAATAATTGAAATATATTCTCAACTATCTACAAAAATCATCTTCTTTTTTTGCAAATAATGCCGTTTATTGAAAAATCAGATCCTAATTCATAATACTGATCATAACGATATTTTTTTAAATATCACCCAAGGTGTAAAGTACTTCAAGTCGAATGTGGTCTAGAACATACCTAATGTCAGGTTGGAAAAAATATTTTTGAGTTGTTCGTCACCTTCGGGTTCTTAATTGACAATAAATTAGTTTTAGAAATCGATCACAATGACAAGCTCAGCAAGCTCAAACGATAAAAATGCCTGCAATACGGTAATTTCAAAAATGTCGTTTTTTATACAAAAACTTCCATGTATAATAACTCACGATATCAACTCACTATACACTCAAAATATTTGCCCAGCAACATTTCGAAAATTATTAATTTTCATACATTTTAAACGATCAAACTTGTAATATAACCCTTTATAAAATAACTCTATCTTATTGTTTGATGAATTAATGAAATTTTCCGAACTAAACATAAAATATCACAGAGGAATGCTCAGGCGCGGAGCTCCATACTTGAGAACAATACTCCAAAGAAGGTCTGATCTGAAGTGAGTACAGTTTTCTGGTTCGGAACAGTGTTCCAAGCTTTTTGAAGTAGCCTTTGCAATTTCACCGACATGACTGTGCCGAGACATATTGGTGTCCATTTCAACATCTAACAAACTTATCAAAGCAGAAAGCGAAATTGCCTGTCCTGACATCATTTTATCCGGTTCGGAGATATTTAGCTTTTAAAACCGATGCCTTGGTTTTCGTAGCGTTGAATTGAACCTTGTTACTTTCAACCCAATTCAAAATCACCTCTAGATCTTCATTGAGATATGCAAACTCCTGCTGCCGGTGAAGATGACGAGATAATCGTCAGACGAAAAGTTCCGAGTAGCTTCTGTATTCGTCAACATGGCGTTCGAATGAAAGTAAAAAACTCCAGAGTAGGAAAAAGAAAAAATCAATTTTGTGAAAAGACATCCTGAGATGCAAAGAAAGAGGATATATAAGTATATATGTCAATAAATTTCATTTATATGATTAAATTGCATTGTTAATATGAATAACTGAAACTTCGAAATTATATGTTATTTGAACACATTGTATGTGTCTTTCAAAAGTTGATTTTTCAACTATCCAGTTTGAATTATCGACAGTCAAACAAGCATCGTATTCTCAGATATTGAAAAGGCAAAATAAACGGCCTGATTCATTGAATTATTGGCTTACTTACCAGCGCTGGTTGATGTAAATTCACAATTTATGACACAAATCGATCGATTTCGTTGAAAATTGCTTTGCGCATTTCGTATTTTCCAGTTCAGATACTTTTCCTGCCACATCATGCCATAATTTTGTTCTAGTGCAATTATATTCGAGGTTACATTCTTGCTGTTTATGAATCGTGTACTATAATATTTCCTGAATCTAATCAAAACACTTTTTTCTCAGCAGAACTGTAACACTGTCTCTCGACGCGCGTTTCGTAAACCAAGTAAAAATCAGGTTATGATGAAAACGAACTCCTGATGATGCCAATTTGGATTGTGAAACGCGCATCGATAGACCGTACTATAGTTCTGGTGTGGGAAGATTATTTAAAGTATTCATTTTATGCCAATGTTTCCAGTTCTACTCACATTTCAGTTTGTCTAGAATATGATTTAAAAGCATTGCGTGTGTGAATTTTCATTCAGAAAAGTATGTGTTACTCTTACTTTCAGCGAAAAAATGTTTCAGGTATGTAAACATAATTTGTAGTCACCTGCTGAAAGAAATTATATGCTAGATTGAAGGTATAGATACTATTCAGAAAAGGTAGCAAAATAATCACAATGATAACTTTGTTGAAAGAAGGTTCAGAATGTGGAGAGTACTCCAGATCACTAAGCCTAAGGATTGAGTGGGGAATGGGAAAAAATACCAGCGTGGTCCAAACAGAAATGCCTGGTACCTCAATCGCCACAAAAAAATAACCAGGAAAGGAACTATCTAAAACATAAGAATCTGCACTGACAGCAGACAAGCCCTATTAGCCTTGAACAGACAACGTGTTACCTCAGGGCTAGTACTAGAGAGCTACCAAGATTTAGCCAAAGGCTCGGTAGATAATAACATCATCCCGAGGTGGGTTGAAGGTCACGACAGGAGTAAAGGTAACCGCATTGCCGACTCTTTAGCCAAGGAAGCGACTGGACTAAGAATTTTAGGACCCAATGGCATCTACGGCCTGACTACTTCGACAGTTGCGGAACTAGCCAAATGTTCCATCCATGCTCAATTCCTAAAGAGATGGTATGGAATCAAAGGATGCAATCTTGCCAGGATCACCCTGGGTGACCCTGGGAAACTGGCGCCGAAGAAATATCTGGCGATGACCGGGAAAAATCTACGCCTTACAGTAGGATTTCTGACTGGTCACTGTCAACTAAGGAAACACCTCCATAATATGGGGGTAGTGGACACACCTCTATGCAGGATGTGTGAACAGGAAGATGAGACTGTCAGGCATGTCCTATGCGAATGCCCCGGCTTATCGTCAATGAGAGAGTGTGTGTTCGTCGAATCTTTGCTTACACCTGCCGATATAGAGGAGATGTCTCCCAGTGACCTGTCTTCCTTCCTGGAAAGGACAGGATGGATGATGACCTAGGAGGACAACTCCTCGGGAGGATGTACAATGGGTCACATGTAGCCTAAGTGCTGTGGGCTTACACTCACTCTCCCTACTCTACAGATACTACAGAACTTTGTTGGAATGTGAAATATGTAAGGCAAATTACACACCGTGGCTTGTGACAGTTTTTTAAAAAAGCAACACGTATTTCGCTATACAGTAGCTTCTTCAGGCGTGTCAATACAGTATAATAAGACATTCTCAAGTCGTTAAAGTTATTCTGAAATACAATAAAATCGAAAAGAATACGCGATGTACGGGTATTGCACGGGTCATTCACGTACTCTGTTTATATATTCGAACAATGTACTTTTAAACAAATGATCCCACCTGACACTTTTGTGCTGTTTTCAAACTATACAAATTGAGTTAGTGAAGTGAAAGATATTTTGTTGAATGAATACGTTGATGGGTGGATAGTTTTGAGAGGTAAATCTTATTCAGTTTGTTAAGTGAAAGTTGGATAGATTTAACTCCTGCAGAAGGATACTTTGTTGAATGAATATGTTGTTGGGTAAATTATTTTTGAGAGGTGAATTTTACTCTGCTCGTTAAGTGAAAGTTACATGAGTTTAACTTTTCCAGGAAGATATTTCAATGAATAAATATGTTGATGGGTGTTTAGTGTTTGAGATGTTAATATGATTTGGTTCGACGTTTGGATAAGGTCAGGCTACACAAATCTGAAGTGTCAGTTACCAAATATTCATATATGTAGACGTTGTCAAAATGACACTAATACCTACATCCCTGTACTGGGCATTTTCTTGTAAAATTACATTATAACAGATATAATAAAACCAGTTCACCGAATATTTTTCGACACAGGTGTACATTTCAAAACTACATTTTTTTACCGCGTGACAAACCACAGGAACGGTGTTGGAAAGTATTGCGCAAAACATATTTTTAGAAGCAAACAATGACTATTGCCGTTTCTATTATTAAATGAACTCTTGTTTACGACGCAGGAATTCTTTAACTATTTTACCAATCTCTCAGTAATTATGTGGAACGTCAGCCCTAGTGTGAAACATCAATCACTCACTAAATGTCATTATTACGAGAGCCAGAGCTGGACTGGGTGAATATTTCAACGGGTTATGTTTAGAACAACGTCTAGTAAATCTTCTCATAATTTACTGAAAACGAAAACATAAATTTCCAACACGCACTAGAGTTTTGTATACAGGGTGCATCAAAATAATTATGGTTATACAGTGGCGACAACGAATTCGTAAAAAAATTCAAATATTTGTTTTTATACATATATTATTTGATATGAGAAACTCCTCACTTTCATCC